TTAGTCTGTCAGGCATTCTAATAATTTCAATTTTAGAGAATAAAAGCTCAAAACAGTCAATAATACTCCCAGCCCTCATTTTTTTTCTCCCCAAAAACACTTTAAACATTTTTTTAAATGCACGCTAATGGAAATTACAATGAAAACTGTGTGATAAATCGGCACATCTGAAGGAAATTTTGGAAGTTGTCAGTGGCAGACTATATAAGCTTGTGCATGTAAGACGTTTTGTGGAAGAAGTATTTTATTGGCGTACATATAACTTGGATCCTTGTGGATGTAAAAAGACAGTTTTATTTTAAATGCGGTGCTGTTTACTTAGTGATATGAGACTTTTAAAAGGTAAGTTGGACATTATTTTGTGTTTCCGAGTGGTTTGACAAAAGTGTTTACTTTTGTCCACATTTATGATTTTATATATATATATATATATATATATATATATATATATATATATATATATATATATATATATATATATATATATATATATATATATATATATATATATATATATGATCTCAAAAATCTTAGCTTTCCAATAATCTATAATATGCATATTAACCTAAAAAGGGTTTCACAAAAAACCCATAACATTAAATCCCTCCCACAGATGCAAGAAACACCATGGAAAATCAACCACATGCCACTGACACATTGCTTTGCTTCAGTTAAACATCCCACAATCCTTGGTGGGCTATATCATTATCACTGCCCAAATAAATACCACAAGGCTACTGACATATTAAAAAAAGAGTAATGTCAATCAATATCAATGTTAATGCCAATATATTGTGCATTCCTACTCACAATTAAATAAAATCGGATGAAAAAATTAAAAAAACAGCGAACCGTACAATTGCATATCACTTTTGGTGGAATCAGCCAGAACAATGGCTCTAGTTTTCCAATTAGAGCTAAGCTGTAGCTAGTCCTTCACAATAGGTATTCACAACCCCACCTATTTCTGGTGAAGGTTGTCTTTGTTGTTGAATGAGTGGAGAGTTGATCATACTTTGATTGCTATGTCCAAAAGTTATGAGTAATTGGTTGTTTCAGAGTATGTCATGATAAAAGATGAAGTGCAGCTGATTCACAACACGCCTGTCACCTCGTGGAAGTCCAAACTCCTAACCTTCTGACAACAATACAAATATCTTATCGTTGATCCAGTGCCAACTTTGTTACAGTGGTTTTAAAGAGTATCAAAATACTGATCCGAAGGGGTTTCATTTCTTTGTTTGACCTCCGACGTCTTCAATCCGTGATAATGACCTTAATTAAGTCATAACTCTTATACTGGGAGCTCAAAGCTGTATTCATTAAAATTGTCATTTTTATATAAATGACATTGTTTGATGAGTAAAGCAGACATTAAAAGAAGCCATTTAGAAAGAAAGATTGAGACAGAAAGGGAAATAAAGAGAGAATGGTGGGATAATTATTGTTCGTAAAAGTGACCAGAGGAGCTTAGCATGTGGTGAAAGGCTCCTGTTAAATACACATACTGCCTCATTGTATCTTCCTGCTTAAGTGACAGCAACTCTCTCAACAAGCAAGAGAAGCATACACACAACAAAATGTTGGTCTTGTAATAATGAAGTAGCAATTTCTTCTGTTAGGAAAATACTCCTATGTGGGAACCAACAGGAATGCAACTTGCACAGTATTTTATAAGTCTGCTTTATGCTAATGCTACTAACTCTGTGTCATAACTCAAACTCATAGGAGATACAAATTAACAATGAGTGTGAACATAAACATTCACAGACAGATCATCTGCAAAGACTGTAAAATTTTAAATAAAGGCGAAACAAATATTTGTGAAGCAATATCCCCAACCCTGTGTGTCAGAACAGCATCAGTTTATTGCAGCAAAAGCATCTGCTATTTAACTTGTCTATTTGTTGGACTAACAATATGTCAAACCTAAATATGAAGCCGTGAAATGAATTATGGATTTCTGGAAGAGAATATCAAAAATATCAACTATCAAAATAGAATGACTAATCAAAGACTTTTAGTACTAATAAAACATAAAGTGAATAACTCTCCACTGATGTCTCAATATTATATTGAGACATGCATAAAAACCATAACATAATTACCAAGTCAAATCTAGTTAATCTAGTTTGGATTGGAATATACAAAACGTTAATATATTTGTGAAAAAAACAGGATTTTTAGTTTTCTCAAAAAATTCCTAAATATATGTTGTTCCTTTGAAACTGCTATTGCTTGTCGCCTAACATACACACCATTTTTACATCCTTTTTTATGTTGTAAGAAGGATTGCTTGAAATGTCAGATTGATACAGGTTTGTTTCCTTGCTCACAGTTTGGTTTGGGTTGGATGTGGACGTGGATTGAAGCAGAGTTGAAAGCAGCACCTTGTTGCCTTCAGCAGCAGCTTCACCAATCTTTCGTTCACCTTGATTCACCTACTAACTGTGATCCACACACACTGTGGAGGTAAAATAATCTACACTTAACACTGTCTTTGCTCCCTGAGGAGCACCCACAGGTGAAAATAGCACAGAAAAGACAGCATGTTTGGGCACAATCCACATGTTTAATTATTATAAAGGTCCTGAGGAATCATCATTAACTATACTTATACTCATAGCGGTTAACCACAGTGCTATGAAACAGAGATGTCAGTGTGATAAGAAAATATTCTCTACCCTATTCCTGGCCAGCTGAGTCGTAAGATTCCTTTGAAAACAAGCAAAAACAAATATAAAACGCTATAAAATATATGCAGCAGCTATGAAATATTTTTGTGGCAGGTTCCCGTGACAACAAACCACTTAAATCTCTGCACACTACCCTGTCTGTAAACCACACCTATACTAATTACCTCATATATCTGCACCCAGATATACACTTAGTGCAGTTGTTTTCACTGCAAAACTTGATTGAACTTGAACCATAATTGGCCAATCCTGGTTGAGTCATTCAGACACATAACAGCCCTGAGCTGAGTCCACATCGTCCTGTTCCCACCCCGCCATGTCAGTCATCGGTTAGCATGACAAAACACACAAAGGGAAGGGTCACGGGTTCATTCCCTAACTCCCATGAGCCCCATTGTGGCATTTCAGTGTTCCACTGGGCTGAATTGGTCCTGACCCCACAGATCATCCAAGGCGGTACGTCACCTGAATACACAACTGTTGTGCCTGTCAGTGATAGTGCCTTGGAACTAATGAATCACCATTATTTCCAGGAAAAATACTGAATTGTTTTTTTGGGGGTTTTCTTGTCAGAGAAACTACAAAAGTGTAGGCTTTGGGGGGCTTCTTTACATACAGAAGAAGACAAACTTCTACCTGTATACCCTTTCATAGAGGTGGATGAAAAGATTAACTCTAAATTATGTGGCTGGCTTGTAAATAAAGCATTATACAAAGCATACAGCTGCTTCATGTATCCAACTACACGAAGGAGATAAACTTCTTACCATAATATCCTCCACAGGCAGCAGCGTCATTATGAGTCACACACCCAAATACAAGATGACTAAAGAAGGACCTGCCCAATAAAGCCTCACGTTTCACCTCTTGGTGTTGTTGTTTTTTTCCCAAAGATTTTGCTAAGTATGTACGCATCAGGTCTATTATCTTCAGAGCAATAAGAGGCATGAGCTGTGTCTGCGTACAAAAAGTTATGTGATTATTTTTATCCTGGAAATAAACATAATTTTGTTTTCATTTATTTTGCATTCTATTAAGTTGCTGACACAAAAACAAATTAGAGAAGTTTTTTTTTTTAAATGTTTTTTCTGCTTTCTGTTCTCTCTTTTTTTCAAAAACACCTAGTCTTTGCTTTCTGTTCCTTTTTAAGCATTCATATTAATGAATGAATGCTTATGAAGGCTTGATCAAACATGCAAGCCCAGCTCAGTGCAGATTGACAAGAAAATTATCATTCAAATTCCCATAAAAAATGTAACTTATATCATAAATAGATTCCTTTGATACAGAGTGCAATATTTCAAGTAGTTATGTCAGTTAATCTTCGATATTATGGCTCAGAGCTAATAAAATTAATCTTTGGAAATATAGGATATTACATGTGACCAGTAAAAAAATTATTTTTAAGACAGAAATAACATAATATGACAATTGTATGGCATAAAATCATGGGGAGGATTGCAAAACACAAAAGGTCTAGATGCTTCCTGCCCACAAAGAAAAGTAGAGTAGAAAAAAGTTGCACAAGAAATAGGAATAACCGAGGAATGAGAGGATGTTTCCAGGACATGGGCAACAACTCATACGACACATCAGAAGTGTCTTGTCTGGCTTGCCTGGACTGTTGGGCCAAAATGTTGTTTTTGAGATGAAAGTCTAGTTTGCATTTCAGGCAGGGTGCCTGCTGGTGTCCAGTTTGTTTTCTTAAATCAAAAATCACCAGCATGTCAACCAAACACTGTTAGGGTAACTAACGCTTCACTTTTCTGTCACGTTTCACAGAGATGCTAAATTCAGTGGTATCACAGAGTAACAGGTCAGCAAACTCACCTGAACAAGTTTGCTGAACAAATTAGTAGAAAAATGAGACACCAGAGCCAACAATGCAAACTGGAGGCCACAATAAAAACAACATGGGGTTCCTTAACCCATCAACAGAGCCACAGGGTATAACCTCCATGCGACGCTGCATTGATGCAGAAATGTAAGCAAAATAAACCTTGACCAAAGCTTGAGTGCCAATATTGTACAGTGAAGGGGCATACTTTGCAGTAGGCAAACATTGCTTTGTTGCAGATCAGTTATTTATTGGTCTTGTGCAGTATTCACATTTTCTGAAATAGTGAATTCTGATTCTCATTAAATGCGTTGTGATAAATTAATAGAAATACATTTCTGAAATATATCACTCTGTATGAAATGAATCAGTTTCATTTTATAGTTACTAAAATAGGTTCATGATATCCAAATTAATGGACATGCAACTTTAATTGTCGAATTTCTCTGGGATGTTTTATCTCTTACCATCACCAGGAAGTGGCGGTGGACTTGTAGAGCTGTTCTCACTCTCTGTGTTCCAGTCTGTGCGTGAACTTGGAGCTGGAGGGTCAGGGTTTTCATTATCAGGTTGCTCTGCGGAGATGGTAGTGGCACTCCTCTCCTCATCCATGGGCGTGGGCCTGCTGTTCATGGAGGAGGTGAATGAAGCAACAAGACCGTATGAATAAATGGGTTGACCTCTTTGAATAAAAAATGTAACATCTAAACATGTCAGTATGAGTAGTGGCCACTAAGATGAATATGCAATAAGCGCTTTAGAAATAAGTAACCAGCTGTAATGTTTTCATCTTCCACCATTTCAGGCAGACTCACCATCTCTACCATTCATCTTAAGGCAGATAGTTTGATGTCTGCTGCAAACTCTCACTGGGCATGTTTTTGTGCCAGGTAATTTCCTCAAATTTAATGTTTTCATAACTTATTTCAGCTAAACTAAACACATTTTTAGTCATGATAATCACATTGTACCTAATCTATCGAATAAACATTAACTGGAAGATGGCACAACCACTTGCCCAAAAATAACTCTGAAACCCTTGAAGGCATAAGGAAACACCATGACACTACTTGTTCTGACAGTAAATAGTTTTTGGCTGCAAATGAAAGGAATTCTATAGATATTTAAAAATAGTCTGCAACTATTGAAAAGTAAATCTAGTGTAGTAAAACTACTGAACACTGAGACAGATTCATACATTTCAAAGCAAGTATGGTTTGAAGTAACTGCAGAACTTATTCTACAAGACCCAAGTAGGTTTTCAGTGAATATTAGAGTGTAGTGCTTAAAATACATTTTTCAGTATAACACAAAATTGTTTCTATATTTCCTCATAAAAATACATATTTTTGAAAACAGAAAAAAATACTTCAATTTCTGCTATAAAGTGTTATTATATATACTAAATTTTGTAAGTAAAATAATGATATCATATGTTTCCCTCCTGTTAGGCTGAATAAAATATGATAATAAAAATATATCACAGCTTCACATTGAACTCATTAACTTTCACATTAACTTTAATTAATGTGTTTTGTTCACAATAGTCCGAATGAGGTCTAAATCTAAGATTTGGGGATTTTGAACTGGATGATGACATCTAGTTTAGACTCTATAAAAGGATAAGATTAAATTAAATAATAAACCTTTCACTTTCGAGTCCAATAGGTGGAAGATAATCAAATAGCAATTTGCTAGCAGTTAACAACTGTGAGGTGCAACCACTGCAATTAACCGGCCACGCAAATGAGTAAATTAGCAAAACACATAAGTGCCCTATCAATTTACCTTGCGGATAGATTAAAACAAGAGAACTTTCCGTGTTCCGTCTCAGATAAATTTTGCCTCGCTCCTCGTAAATGTGTTGTGCTCGCCAGTTTTTGAAGGCCTCGGGCATCCGCTCCAAAATATGAGACAGCAGCTCTCTCTCTCTTTCTCTGCCTCACGTGCAGCCAAAGAACGGCGGGCGCGCGCCCCACCAGTCAAACCAGCTCAGCTGGGCAGCTGTGTTTGCGCGCTCCCGTGGCAACAGGGCTGCACTCACTGTCCAAGGAAAAGTTTTGACAATACACAGCGAAGTTCGGGGAAACAAAGGCTCAAACAGAAGACGTTCATTTTACGGTCACAAAAAATAAATAAATAAAATAAAAAAAAAATCCCGCGACATAAACTTCTGAAATAGCGAAAAGTTTGTAAAGGTTTCGAGGGGGAAAAAGAACGACGTGCCAAATTTAAACACGTTCCGTGAGAAGCTGCAAACGCATTAAACTATTATATTCGGGAAAATGTAGCCTCCAGGGCCTGGAGTCGCAAAATGTGGCAGATATTTTGTTTACCTTGATTGCATGACTGTGCTCTGATTAAAAGCGAGTGTCTGCATGCCGAGGCCGAAAAAGTAAGTCGTTTTTCTTACTTTTGTCTTCACAATATCACGGGGGGGAGGACCCAAATAAACAAAACAAAACAAAAAATAACACAACCTTACCTTCTCACTGTCTGCGACACTAAAGCAACCAAAATGTTTATTTATTGGTCTAATTCATCTCATCTCCCTCGCAGGACCTCGAGCTCCGCTGGAGTCCTCTTTCTTTCCAAACTCTGGTCTCTTCGCGGCGTCAAAAAAAGAAACTCTCCTCGGTTCATACAGGTGATATAAGCTCCAAAATACAGAGCATTTTCTTCAGCACAGACAATCTTCTCTCCGCCTCCAAAGTGCCTGGCTTCGGCTCGCCCCGTCCTCCAGCAAAACCAGATGTGGCGAAAGTTTTGACTCCGCAGAAACCTTTGTTTTTCAGGTTTGCTCGACCACTGCTGAGAAAGTCCAGTTCCTCCTGGAGAATTCAGCTAAGCTAATTATAAGCTCAAGCTGAGGTGTGTGCCTCCTTTTTCTGTTATTTCGCCCCCTCTCACATCCACTGTGTCAGCCTTTGACTTGTGCTGCTGCCTGCTGCTGTTGCTGCTCCTGCTTTTTGGACAGGAAACTACAGTCAGCAGTGATTGTGCTTCCTCCAGGCAATAAAGTAGTTGGGCTGAACTGTACTGTCATATAATTACCCCTTTAACCCGAACCAGACAGAGCACTAACACAGACAAGCTTTCATTACAAATTTGAAGTCCAGAAGCCAATGTTTTGTCATTAATAATGAACAGTTTAGTCTCCAGGAGTAGTAATGCTGTCAACAATGTATAAGCGTTTATCATCAACAGTGTAAACATTCTTACATTCTTACGCCATATAACATGTTATATAACACACATACAAGAAAAATTATCACAATCTCCTTTTTTTGTCTGAGATAAAATGTTTTCTGCTGTAATTTAAATGTGTATTATGGCAATGTTGCTGTTTTTGTTTTCCATGCCCTTATGTTCCGAGAAAATAGTTTCACTTTAAAAGCAAACAGTAGGTAACCGTTTTCTTTAAAAGAACAGCCAAAACATGTTGGAGCAGGAATCCATCAACAGATAAAGTCAAAACTTCTTAGAAATAATAACAATGAAAAAAAACAAAAAACAAACAAAAAAAAAAAAAACAGTTATCACAAACCTGTTGACACTCCAAGTAAAGACTTAAAATGGATTATGCTGATTGCACCAGCATAATCCATTCCTGAGAAATGTCAAAAAATGCATCCTGCTTTGATACTTATTAAATAGGAGGGGGGAACACCATGTTCAAAAATATTGATACCCCTTTAAAATGCATCTAATCAAAGATTTTATATTTTTATGCACTTCACTGTTGTAAGCAAATCAGTTTATTGGAACTTTTATATGGTGATCTATCACTTTCAGTTTCCTTCCTACATACTTGACATAAAATCATCGTTTCTTTTGGCCACTGGCCTCAAAACTGGAGCATTCATATTGCTACAAGGGGAAGTCCTGCAGCGAAGAGAGACATCTTTCCAGTCTCCATAGGAAATCATTAGATGCTAGCTCACTTTTATGCACAAGTGCCGTCTCATTTCTTTTGCTGTTGTTCTATCATCAGCAACATAGACATGGTCAAGTCTGCTTAATTCTACTGAGATTTTATGATGTGTCTCAGCATGATGCATAATGTGCTTTATTCAGATTAGACTAATCGTAGTCTGTCTAGCAGACAGACCAAACAAGGGTTTGAGATGAAACAAAAGACAAACTCACCTATTGCACTCTCTTCACAGCCAGAGGTAGTGAAGAGCAAAAAGTGCATGGCATCACCAGCAATAAGAAATACCCGGACATTTTAAGCCAAGCAGAGAGAAAATTATTCAATAATAAATGTCCTTTCTGTTTCTCAATCCTCCACTTCTTCTAGGGGGGGATTCACGGAAGATTCGACTGAGAAACAGCTTTATGCTAGACGGCTGAACTGAGTCCTGCTCTCCTTCCAAAAGGTCTTTTGACCGGACCACATGAAAACTCGTGCTCAGACAGGAAAGATGCTGGAAATGTCAACACTGACGGTCAGCACAGAGAAAGTGAGGCGGACACAAGAAGATATTTCAATGTGAGTAAAAGTGTAAAGCAAAACTTGACATGCATCCTCGAGCCTCTACAAAGTCTATTTAACAATTCAGTTTGTCTGTGCTTTTAAGAAGTACAAGATTTGGTGGTGAGGAAACGAGCATGAGAAAGAGCATGTGCAGAGAGACTTGAGGGTAAAATGTGGTTCCAATCATTCACAAAGATGCTTTTGTTCGGCGGCTGGGCCCCGCTGCTCTGACTGTCTGTGTCTCTCTCCTCGACAATCCTGCCGCACAACGATGCCTTCTTGTGTGGCAGGAAATGCGAGTGTGAGGATTCGCATGGTGAAGAATACATGAGCTTACCTGTCAGACACTCAACAGATGTCAGTGTGTTAAATATTTAGAAATAAAAATGACACAACAACCATAAAGCCAGTAAAGCTCAGATTTCATTCAGAATATTGTTAACACTATCACTTTTTCTTGCAGAGTTTCCAAAACCTCCTGCTTTTCCAAATAGTGTTTTTACTGCACAGATTTCACCCAGTTGCACAAGCTATGATCAAAGCCATTAATGTTCAGTCGCCTGATGTCATGGTGCTGTCAAGAGTGGTGAGTGCACTTACAATTATGGTAAAAAGAAAAGCAAACCCCCCTTTTTGCATTCTAGATGTTGGTGTGTACTTAAATTTCCACACACTTTTCCCTGCAATGGGTGCTGTGCTTTACTGTATACTTGAGACTAGAGTCCAAGGATGTTAGTCTGTAAAGATCAGATCCTTTACAGTTATTCATACCACTGCAAATTAGCCAAGTCTCTGGAAAAAGCTTGCTAATTACACTGATAAATCAGGAGCAGCTGTTTTCACCAGCTCAACAGGTGAAAACTGCAGCTCTCTACTATTGGTTAGTGGCAAGTCATGGCTAAAACAAATGTAGCCCCTGGTTAAAATCCATGTACTTAAGGCCCTTTAATATTTACGAGATTGTTTTTTTGTAAAAAGAAAAAAAGGGGAGTGAGTGAGAAATGTGTGTTATTGTTTTTGTACATTTTTAATCCGAGACATTAATAATGTGAGGGAAGAGGTTACTGTTGTGAGTAACATGAGAAATAATGGAGAAAAAAAAAACTGAAAGCCAAACCTTTTCTGGCGGTGACTTGTGTATTTACATAAGTGTATTCTTGTTTGATATATGATCTCATTAGTTTAAAGACTGCATTGAATTTCCTACCTATGAAAGTAGTTTAGCTTAACGAGGGACAAGTGAACTCAACTGAGGAAAAAAGGGGGACAATGGAATGATGGGAGGAAGAAGGTCGAAGAACGCGGGAGAGAGGACAAGGAGGAAGCCAATGGAGTCCGCTGCTAATGTTTTCAGAGGCTGAGGTGGGAGAAGGAACTGGACTTTTTCGGGCATGTTCTGCACAAGTAACTTTGCACCCGGTGTTCAGGACACCTGCACAAGTGTTTTTCAGTGAAAAGCATGGAGGAAAGTCTGCGGTTGAAGGAGGAGTTGTCCTGCAACTCGTGTTGACGGAGAGGACGTTGGGTGAGCAAGCAGGTCTGAGTTGGTTTAAACGGGGAGGAGAGGATTGGTACTGACCGGTACCAGACAGTACCGGTTAAAGTATTGGTACCGTCTGGTGTGTGAGAGAGTATGGGCCCATGTGTGACATTGCGTTTAGAACTGTACATTTTCGGTAAATGCGTGGAGTTCTGTTAATGACAAAAGTTGAATTATGGTAAAGCAACAATTAACAGTGAATATTTTTCTTAAAAAACACAAAGTTAAAGTGAGTAAAATATAAGGGACTGAAAAGAAAAAGTGCCTCGTCGGCTTTATTTTATTTTTGGAAACATTTAATATTGGGAATTAATGGAAGTTGAAGTTTTGGATTATTTTGGGGGTATTGTGGAGCAAAGGCTTTATTTCTCCAAGTTCTTATTAAAATAAACTATTCACTTAGCTGGTTGTCTGGAGTTACTTATGTTACATCAAAGATGTGTATAGTAATTGGACGAGGAAGGATTTACTCAACATAGGTCAAGTCTGTGTGGTATCTACCAGAACTTAACGAACCCACATAGCCACCCCATCAGTGAGTTTAAGTTCTTGTTCCAGTTACAGAGCAGAGGGTTACTACACAAACAAATAAGGCACAGTAAGGACCTGCAGCTGCACATTGTAAACGCACTACTCATGAAGGCTATTTCTAAGTGTCTTTAAGTTCCTGTGATCAGGATGCAAATATTATTAAAAAGAAACAAGATGCTCCATGTTTTAAGACTCATCACATCAGAAACACAATATTCTATTACTGTGTTTCTAATGTTAGTATTTTATTCAAATGTTTCTAATGTTAGTATTTTATTCAAATGATTCTAATGTTAGTATTTTATTCAAATTTTATGTGGCAAACCCTTATAGGGGGAAAAAGTTATGATAGAAATAGAATTTTTTTTTGGGGCCCTGTCAATTACAAAATTAATAATATTGTGTTTTCTAAAATAGTTTTTAGCAGTAAAACTCACATGTTGCCTCTCCCAGACCAAAAAGCAGACATCCATATATTTCTTTTTTTTTTGTCATGGGGCCCACAATTCCTGGTGGCGCCCAGGGGACACAACTACAAGGCAACGCACAATTGTGAATTGAAAGAAAAAAATGTTAAAGATAAAAATCTAAAGGAAAGATTAGCCTACTATTTCTGCCACTGTCCCAAATCGTTTACAAAGTAACTGCTTTACATGTGGCTCCCACTGTCTTCTCATCATTGATGACCAGCTTTTCTGAAGGAGGATGTTTGTTCTGATATATTAGATTATATTTGTTCACTGATCTCTGAGTTCTTAAAATAGCACCCAGGTGGATCCAATAAGGTAACTTCTGGAGCAAATTGGTTGCGTTGGAATCAGAGTAGAAGGAAGCTGAAATGCCTGACACACAATTTGATGTACATGTCAAAAAAATCCAGATCTATCTATATGTTTCTCCTTTCTGATGATCTATCACATATACATTTCGTCAAAATAGATGACAATTTGTGACTGTAACTTGGCAAAATTATCATAATACGTTTTCAGTGCACTATACGTGTATTTACTCACAGTTACTAACATAATTACATATATTTATTTAAATGTAGCTGTATACAAGCATTTCTGATCAAAGCTGTATTTGCATAATCCATATAAAACACATCAAAGAGCATGTTTTCATTTTTCAAATTTTTTGAAAAGACGTCATTGCAAAGTGTAGAAAACAATACATCGGTAGAAATGCAATACTATAAACTAATGTTTTCTTTTTTTTAAATTGTGTACAAAGACTTAGACTATAGGGTTAGTTAGTTATTATTCTGATTTTACAAAATAAATTTAAAATAATGCATCACAGGTTTAGACAGAAAATTAGTCATTAAATGCATTTAAACCAATAGTAACTTTGATTGTCTTCACTTCTTGAGTATATCTTTAGTAGGATCCCA